CGCGGGTCACGGGTCGGCCCGAGGTCCCGATTTTCAAGGGCCGGTTTTCACAGGTCTGGCCGACCCGTCCGTCTTGACACCTCTATCTCTGGCGCCATTATGTGTTTTTAGCACTTCTAGCAACCAAAGTTTGTGGTCGTTGAGTAGGCCAATAAAAAATTATTGTTGTACGTCACTATAACTGATCGAAAATTGGTTGGTGAAAGTTTTGGTCCATTGAAATTGACATAATTTTTTTAGTCTTTTGCGACCAAAACCTAGTAGCCGATTCAGAGTATCATGGACTATATGTATCATATTTATTGGTCGTTGGATGCAATTTTTTTGTAGTGTTTCTTACATCTTCAATAGCTATAACTATGGTCATCTGCAAACTAGAGTATAATCACAATTGGAGGAAATTAGCTAGTATAGCCAGTGTTGGGTTATTTTCTCTTATGAACAGGAAATTCTACGTTTGGGATCTTATATTATAGCCCAAATTCCATTAAGGTGTTAACCCTAACGATGAATATAAATACAAGAAGATTGGAGAAAATAGAAGCCCAACCCATTTTTGAAAAGAGAGGAAAAATAGTTCTTTTCTCGTCACCCAGATTTCATCAAAGCTTAGATCCCGAGTCATCCGTGGTCCGATCGAACTGAAATTTGAAGGAGAGGTTCACAAGACTCGGAACTACATTTGAACAGTGGAGATCGAAATTTTTGAGTTCGTGGACATTGGTTAATGTGCATGAACAGTAACCAGATTTGTTTGTATATTTTTCCTATTTCATTTTATTTTGTCGAGATCTTTGTTAGCTTGAAGAAATATACGTTATATCCCTAGTTGTGATTAGAGAAGACTTTCCGTGCCCATTATTTGATTGATAGTGGATGTTTTTACTGGACTGGGTCCTGCGGTTTTTACTCCTCACAACGGGGAAGTTTTTCCACGTAAAATAATGGCTTGTGTTCTTGTGGTTTGGTGAGACTGATTTATTTACGATATTTTCTGCATATGGAATTGACAGGAAAGACGTTTTACTTATTTGCTTTTAGGAAAAGAATTATTCCACTATGTGTATATTTGTTTGCATCTCTCCATACAAAATCTGCAATTTTTACTTTACATTCTTTGTTGAGAAGGGTACTTTGGGGGTTTAATGTTGAAATGAATAATGTTGGGATTGTAGTACGCGTGAAGATACTCCAGTCCCTTTCCTATCCCAACAATGCTATATCGATGCTTTTCCCAGTTAAATGAGATCTTTCAATTAGGAAATTGCATTATTAATCTCCAAACTTCGACTATTTTTGCATTTCTATCTCTAATCTTTTGTTATTGTTCCCCACTTACCATTTTTTGGCTCCATGGTTGGAATATGTTGTGGACTGAGGTGCCCAATACTTGGAAGAGTTTGGATATTATATATAGCTCACGTTCTCAACCTAGTCGAAATAGAGCAAGTATTTCTCTCAACGTATCTTTAATTTGTAACGATGTGTCCTCAGCATTTGGATTTTGTTGCGAATGATTTTTTAATGGATGCTTTTAGAAGTAGAATAATACATATTCCTATACTTTGATTAACATACATGGATATATAAATGTTAACCAAATGGGCTGCCTCACTATACTATTCTGTTTGGGCCGTTTGTGCTGTTGGGCCTTTAAGTGTAATGGGTTGGTGGCCTCAATGTTTTCATTATTATCAGCCTTACACGTGGCTGACTCTCTGCTCTTAGATTGCAACTGTTCACATTACTTGGTTGACTTGGTCTTTTGGGGTTTTGGCACTCGAAAGCATTCCATTCTCTCTTCGTCTCTCTAGTTCCCCTTTTCTCTGAGTGAAAGTCTAAGGTTTCTACTTTGTACCCTAATCGATCTTAGTGATTCATCAATCCTATTTCTTTGTGAAATTCTGTATATTATATAGTCTAGGGATTGATCTTATGTGGTTTCGATTATGTACTGTTGAGGCAAGATTAACACAAAGAAACCTTTTATTTCTTCAAACATTTGTAATATTTCTTGATTATTACTTAGTGGATCTAGAG